TCGCATGTGAGCGGAAAAAACAAACTTGCAACTTTGAGCCGACGGGCCGCCGGCCGCAGCATCAGGAAGTGTCGCGTGATATCAGGTCTCGCGATGTAACGAATTGCTTTACGGCAAAAAAAGATCGGATAAAATTCGGATAAAATAAGCATCAAACAGAAATAACCCGGCGCCGTATACACAGAGGTGTAGTGGTAAAAAAAGAGGTGGGTAAACTATAAATTCTGGTGGACCACGACGTGGTCACCCGGTAAGGTGGGCCACTGCCTACCTGATGACATTGCTAACATTGCTCGACATTAAGCCTTTTCACTTGTCCTTCGGACAAAAAAATCTGTCATTCACTTGTCTGAGTAAAAAAATTGCTCGTCAGGATTTTTTTTTTTTGGTGTGTGTGTTAATTTATTCTGAAACAATATTCTCATTTATTCTGATTATTCTCATCAGTGTTCAATCAGCTTTGATATTTAAATCGGCATATTGTAATATCTGCACCTTTAAAGGGCATCCCCTCCCCCAATATTATTAAATGTATGCTTCATCTTTCATTTTAAATTCATAAATTTGGTCAATAAATTCAATTATTTAGGTTAATAAGACACTATAGGGCTGTTACCCGTCCCTAGGGGCTGATCAAATTCACTAATTTACACTGAAAAATTACAATTGTGTAAAATAATGTTATGAAATTTATTTAAATTTACATATAAGAAACATTGGAAAGAATGATACTACTTTTAAAGGGATACTCCACTTTTTTTGGAAATAGGCTCATTTTACAACTCCCCCAGAGTTAAACTGTTGAGTTTTACCGTTTTTGAATCCATTCAGCCGATCTCCGGTTCTGGCGGTACCACTTTTAGCATAGCTTAGCATACGTCATTGAAGTGGACAAGACCATTAGCATTTCTAAAAAAAAAAAAATGACCAAAGAGTTTTTATATTTTTCCTATTTAAAACTTGACTCTTCTGTAGTTACATCGTGCACTAAGACCGACAGAAAATGTAAAGTTGCGATTTTCTAGGCTGATATGGCTAGGAACTATACTCTCATTCCTGCGTAATAATCAAGAAACTTCACTGCCGTACCATGAGTGCAGCAGGCGTAATGATATGACGCAGCGCCTGAAATTAGTTCCGTTGTGTTGAAGGAAGGTGGCCTATTTTCAGGCGCTGCGTCATATCATTACGCCTGCTGCTCTCAAGTGGAGTATCCCTTTAAACATAACACTAAACCGCCAGTTGGTGGCGGCAGGCGACCGTCTTAATGAGTGAGTCATTGATTCATTCATTCAAACAAACAAACGATTCGTTCAAACGGCTGATTCATTCAAGAATGAGACAGATGTTTATGAATGGGTCATTGAATCTTTGACTCAATCGATTCGTTCAAAATGCTGAATCATTCAGTAATGAAAACAGGTTGAGTGTTCCTGTGAGATGCGCCGTGGTTCTGCTGTGATTTTTGTTTGGAACTATTTTCGCTGTTGAAACAGAACAAAAACAGCCAATATTGCATCTAAAATGTAAGTGACTTAATTTTAACTGTTTATTGAACTGTTGTAGGAAATGTCACATTTTCAATCGTGATGGTGTTCAGGAAAAATAATTGAGGTTGCTTAACATATGTTAAAAATATAAAAACTCCACATTTAGATTTTTTATAGGCAGTATGTTGTTAACTGGTTAACTGAGTGTGTGTGTGTGCGCTCATTTGTGTAGATTTCTCCTCGAGAGGCTGCGCGAGCGTCAACAGCGCAACCTTACCGTCCGTCAGTAAAAGTCAACAACACTGACAGTAATGCAGCGCAATATGAAAGAGTTCGTCTTAGTTTTAACAACCTATGAAACTAATAATGAACAATATGAAACTAAAACGACATAAGCTTAATTTAAAATGTCTTAGGAACTACGGGCTATTTAGAGGTGGATAAACGCTATTTAGAGGTGGATAAACGCTATTTAGAGGTGGATAAACGCTATTTAGAGGTGGGTAAACGCTATTTCCGAATATCGGGAGGTGCGTAAACGGCGTTTACGTGCCTCCACTACATCCCATGTGGTGTTTGAGGCGCACCGACAGTTAAACAGGGCGCGCGCAGCTCTTAAAGGGGCCACACCTTATTTCAACTCGTTACAGCTTCCATCCTACTGAACAGGTACCGGTCATAGACAGTATAAGAAGTGGACAGAGCCATCTCATTGGAACTCAGTTGAGACAGTTGAAGCCCATTTTTAGCGATTTTTGAGCACTTCCGTTCCTGACGCGCAGACTCAAACCGACTCAAACTAAGCTTGATGACGTGAGCAACCTGTCTGACAGACGCAAATCTTCTAGTAGCTGTGCCAAGAGGAATCTGAATCATTCCCTTCCGAAACTTGCAGAGCCGGAGATCGTGGGTATTAGCTGTCCATGAGCTCGCAGCAGGAGCAACTTTACAACTCTCTATGGGCTTCTCCTCTGACTTTATGCCTCCACGTCCCCCCGATTGCGCGCGAGTTTCTACTTCTGTCTATACGGTAATTTTCTCTAGTGTGCGCCAGAGAGTCGCGTGTTATGACGCAATCGTTAGCCTATTTTTACAAAAACGGCTTCTACGGGGTCATAACGTAAGATACAAAGTAATGGAGCCTTTTATACATTGTCGTGTTTCTTTAGAAATAAATAATGGACAAATGGAGTCTTTAAACGCCTCAGATGTAAAGTTATTCGCTGTCAAAGTGACGTCAAAATGAATGGGAGTCAATGGAAATGCTAACGCAAGTGAAGTTCTGCTACAAGATGGCGGCACCCGGCCGGCTTCAACTTCCGGTCGATGGATTACCCCCTTGGTACCGGTGTACAGGGGGAGGGGATCAGGCCGTGAGTGCAGAGCCATCTCTGCGTGAGTGCTATTTATGACAGTACAAGTACTCCGCAGCAACTCTAGGGGTCGCTGTTTGACAAAAACAGAATTCCTGCATAGTGCACCTTTAATGTGTTCATAGAACTCACAAACATGTCAACGGCAACAATAGTGTCCGGTGGGATAACCCATTGGATCTATATGCTACTACACATAGGCTAACTGTTCTACCTTACTTTCTGCTGCTACCTAACTTACTACCTAATTTTAGTCAAGTCAAGTCATCTTCATTTATATAGCGCTTTTAACAATGGATTGTTTCAAAGCAGCTTTACAGAGATAAACATATAATTTAAGGTAACAGATTGTTTTGGCGTTATAGCGGTTCTTGAATAATGTTACTTCCAGCTAAAGTTAACTTTGAACTTCTGAATTTTACACACAGACACATACACAGAAACACACACACACACCACGCACGCCACACACACCACGCCACACACTCCACGCACGCCACACACTCTATGCACGCCACACACTCCACGCACGCCACACACTCCACGCACACCCCACACACACGCACATCACACCACACACACGCACATCACACACCCGCACACCACACACCACACACACACACAAAACACCACACACCCCACACGCCCCACTCACATCACACACCCCACATACCCCACATGCACACCCACACGCACACACACCACACACCCCACACGCACACCACACACCCCGCAACACACCTCACACGCACGCACGCACACCCCACAAGCCCCACACACCCCACACCACACTCAGCCCACATGCACACCCAACACCACACACTCCACGCATTCCACACACACACCCAACACCACACACCCCACCACGCACACCCCACACGCACGCACGCCATACACCCCGCACACACGCACACCCCACACGCACACCACACACCCCACACCATACACCCCACACGCACACCACACACCCCACATGCACGCACACCACCACGCACACCACACACACCACACGCACGCATACCACACACGCACACCCCACACGCACGCACACCCCACACACACCACACACACACGCAAGCCACACACACGCACACCCCACACGCACGCACATCCCACACAGACCCCACACACACGCACACCGCACACCCCCCACCCCACACACATGCACACCACACATCCCAACCACACACACACGCACACACATACCACACACCCCACACGCAAACCCCACACAGACACATACACACACGCACACACAAACACACGCGCACACATACACACACACACACACTGCACAGGTCAAATAGACCTATATTCAGTCTGTCCAATGGTTGATACAACACAGTATCCCACCGGTCACAATTGTGACCGATCATAAAACTAACTTTTTCACACACTTTTCCATGAAAATTAAAAAAAAATATGATTGATTGTTACAAAGGGATACTAATGACACATGATTTGGATATTTTTGTGTCTGGGAAAAATTTGGGATTAAATGGGTTAATCTTAACAGTGTAAATCGGGTCATAATACATACAAGCTGCCTTTTAAATTTTTAGGATGGTGGTCCCTTGCATGAGGATGATCATATTTGGGGGTTCGTGGCATAAAATATTGAAAACCCCTGTCCTGGGCTGTTTTTCATGCTGGTAATTTAAGTAGGCCATACATAAATTAATTAGATAAATTAATTAATTAATATTTCCTTTCTGTTGATGCATACATATTTTATTATCTATGCCTATTCCCTATAAATAGTATGGTGACTCCATTTTTCTACCTGCTCTCTCTCCTTATTAATAGGATGATGTAGCCTATCATCCATGCACCCTATCTATCTATCTATCTATCTATCTATCTATCTATCTATCTATCTATCTATCTATCTATCTATCTATGTTCATCAAGTGTGCAGTGTGACTGATCGCTCAAGTCGAAAAAGGGGCTGAAGCCAGAAAAAGCAACGTGTTGTCTTGATTAATATCCTACTGTAACTGTGGAAAAGAGAGAGAGAGAGAGAGAGAGAGAGAGAGAGAGAGAGAGAGAGAGAGAGAGAGAGAGAGAGAGAGAGAGAGAGAGAGAGAGAGAGAGAGAGAGAGAGAGAGAGAGAGAGAGAGAGAGAGAGAGAGGGATGACCAACTTTACACCATCATATCAAACAGATCCGCTAGTGGGGTGTGCAGTGCAACTTGCAGCAACACCAACTCAAACAAGGCTTTCAAGTGCTGGAAGAGCAGTGAACTGCATCAGGAGATCGGTGCTGAATCCTGCAAACATGATTGCCACCACACAGCAGAACATGACAACAGAGCTGGTAAAGCTAAACAGCATGTTTTATCTTTTGCATGAGCAAAGACTAAATGCAGATGACGATAAAATGCGTTTTGATGCCGGTGTTTTTTTTTTTTTTTTTTTTACACATCTGTGTGAACTAGAGCCGCAGCGAGGCAGCGCGTGCACGTGCGAGAGAATACAAATCTATGCACACGACCCTTTCATATCCTGTTTATAAACTGTATCTAAGCTTGTTTCAACTCATTTATCCGTCAAAGTACATTAAACACATGCTTGCTCAGCACAGGCGTTGGTCACATTGATTCGACTCGGTTTTCATTCATACTTTCAGAGAAACTGTCTGTCCGTATCCCTCTGTCGGTTTCGGTCCGTCACACCAGTTACTACTGCAGTGCTTTCCTGTGACTCATTGATTAATAGAAGTAGGGCTTTTCCGACAGAGCTTCAGGCTGCCGTTTTAACTTCTACGTTAAGATTTTAATATTTGAGTTCGAAATGTGTGTTGTTTAGTAGCGCAAACGAATCAGATAGGCTTGAACTGGTGTAAATTCGCTGTGAAGATGGCAAGAGCTGCTGGACGTTTACCTCAGAGCCGATCTTTTCTAAGAAACCGAAATGAGACAAGTTATCAATCATAGCCTACACAAATATCTAAATATGGTTCATTGACGAACATTGCTATTACGTGCATACAAAAATGACTGGAATACACTATGACAAAACGTTTAAAAGTCATTTTAATATTATTTGTAAGGTTATTATTTGTAAGTTTTTGCTATATGGCTGCGGTCGCAAGTCTTAAACAGCTTAAAAAGTAAGGAAATGGTAGTTTGGCAATAGGAATTAATATAGCAATAATAATAATATAGGTAGCTATATTATATATTACTAATATATATAGGCCTATATAGCCTATTAATTAAACATAAGCAGTGAAGCAAATATCTTGTAAAATATAATTTATTTTAATATGAAATATTTTAAAAACTTAGTCTGCCAAAGTAAAGTGTTTGCAAAACGCCATTTTGATGTCATGTGAATGAGAAAACATCAAAACAGAGATGACCTCTTTATTACTGTATGGGTTGTTTTGCATTGTTAAGCAAAATTAAGCACAAAATATCACTGTAAATCAAAGTTAGCACATGACAAATATTGATATCCGCCTTATTTTTAAATCCAGAAGTAAGCTGGTTCCTGTGAATCATGTGCGAGACCTCCGATTCAGGAGCTTCTATGCAACAAAGTGCAGTAAACAGTAAAATATTTGTATATAATACAAAGCAGTGTCCTAATGATTACGATAATAAATAAAAAATAATATGATAACAAATACCCATTTTCAACATCAGATAACAACAAACTGTTCTTGAATTCAATATAAAAATACCTGTCACTCTCATGAGATTCCAGCAATAGCAAACCACAACGATCCAATCAACTCTCGATAGACAAAAAATCTAGTCCCACCCTACATTTTTTCATTCGTATATACGTCACAAGAAAAGACTATTACAACTATCGTTTCATGCCGACTTTAATTGTTGTGAAATGTCAATGCAAAAGGTCCTAAACAGGTTTAATTTTCTTCGGTTTCCTTTGACTTTGGGGTGAAATATGACTTGGAAATGTTCTTGACAGGTTTCACCCATATAAATATTATTTTCACATCCCTTTCAAATACAGATTTGTATCTCCTTGCCTAGTCAGTGTTTGCATAGTAATTCGTGCTTAACTGATAAAGATGATCACCTTTGTTATCTAGCAAATGGCGCAATGTTTGTGTAAGAGCCTGGAAGGTTGTAAGTGTGAGAGTGTGAAGGAGCAGTGTTTCTCATCGATGGTTGCAGATGACTCATATGATGCATCTTTAACTGAAACATAAGACAACTTTGTAGTCTCCACCTCATTTGCATATCTTCTGCCTGGTGCCTTGACCATTAAGCATGTGTAGAAAGATTGGCGGTAAACGGCCAGAGAACTGCTGACATGTCAGAAGTGTCACTGTGACAAAATGTTATGGTTGTTTCTGCATTTGTGTTTGAGAATAAAAAGGGGTAGAAAAACAACAAGGTCTAGGTGCACGACGGCTGTCAATACTCTTATGCCAAATGCAAGATAAGAGATGTCATATAACATGCAATGTGCAGTTTCTATATTAATCTATTATGTCTCCATAATACATTTTATTACTACGGATCTAGAGTGAGTGGGACTCCGCATACTGCTCTGTTTCCAGCCGATAAGACACCCAGAGTAATTAGTTTCTTTTGCATTGTATTTCCCCCTTCACATCTGAAAACTAATATTCTGCACCATTCCTGTAACTACGGCACTGATGAAATTCAATGTGCAATTAGCAGGGCCGCACAATATATCAAAATTATCGAAATATTGCAACACACTAAAAAATGCTGGGTTGTTTCATCCCTGTTTGGATCGAATATGGAAAAACCCAACCGTTGGTTTAAATTTTGAAATAAAAATGTTAAACCCAACGGTTGGGTTTGTCCATATTTGCCCCAAACATGGTCAAAAGAGCTAAGTGCCGCAGAAAAGAACTCAATTCGGTACTTGCACGCACCTCTCGAACATCGAGCGATCCTGAATCTTCCGCTCCTGAATATTCTCTTCCGCAGCTTATATGGCCAAATACACACAAAACGCTTGTCTTGGTTATTATTCATGTAAACAGTTGGTTATGTATTAAGTGAACGTACACAGTTAAAAAAGAAAATGCGTGTGTAACAGTATATTTGATCCGTGCAGCTCCTATAGTGACAGCAGTCTATACATGTTGCTGTCTGTGTCATTAATGTTAATCAATCAAACAACAAAAGACAAACAAAGATTTAATAAGGTCAGTGATATGATTTCAGACATATTTACAAAAGTACTACTCAGGTTATTGAAGTTCAAAATGACCTTGAGTACACCTTTAAAATGATGGTTTGTCATCTAAATGATGAGTGACAGGAAATGATTCTATCGACATGACAGGAAGGTTTGAGTTGACTCTCCCCTCATGTCAGATCAACATATGCTTGCTGACCTAAGCAAGAAAAGATCTGTCTCATCCAGTGCACTGGAATGAACATTACAGGCTACATTTTGCAATGTAGCTTGGAAATAAGTTGTGTTTTGTCCCAAATATTTATAATATAATATAATATAATATAATTCAAAGGTAGTATGTTGTCAAGAAAGCAATCTTTAGCAACCAAATAGCAACACCCTAGTATTGTGGTGGCAAAAAAAGAAAGAAAAGTTGTACAAATCTAGTCAGGGTTATTATTATTATTATTATTATTGTTAATATATAAACTAAAACCAAAACCATAAAAAAAGTTTTAGTTACTTGAAATAAAATGAACGTTAACTGAAATAAAATAAAATATGCAAAAACCAAGGGAAAAATTATTATTTTCATTTAATTTAACTTAATGTACTAAAACTAAAATTAATAAACACGATATAGTATTATTCCGTAGGCTATAGCTTAAAATATAGTACATAATAAAAAAATAAAATGAAAAATAAAATAATAAAAATGTCAAAAACACAACTAAACGACTAAACCTTTAACAATAATTAAAAAGCGGAAAATACAATCTATAATTCAAAATATTAATGAAAACCTATAATAGTATCTCAATGAAACTAAAATAACACTGAATCTAGTCCATCAAATAATACGTATTAAAATATTATGTATAGCAAAATCCATTGATCCATTTAGAAAGTGTTATCCATCAGAAAATCCTATAATCCATTTTGAGATGAGGAAATGATATTTAGAATTCGATCTTTTTTCCTCTTAGATCATTGACAGGAGGAAGGTCTCCTGAGACAGTGACCACTTTCTCACCTGCTTGAAATGTTAACGTGAATGAGTCTGTGCAGGAAGCTTATTAATTATGTAACAGTACTTTGTATCATTGATTTGAACTGCATAACAACCTAACAACCTTTCAAGCATTTTCCTTTGCTTTTTCTCTATTCACTAGGAGCTGTTTCACAGCAAGTGTTCAGTATTCAGGAGGTTTTGGATCAAACAGCCAGAGTTGGCTGGAGATTAGTGCGGTGGCTTTTGGATTTTCTAATGCAGCCATAATTTGGTCCTTGCTCTTTTTCTGGTCCCACTATTTAGGAGGCTTTAGCAGTCTTCAGAAAATTAATATAGACAAGAATCCTCATAGGTAGCGTATATCTGTGAAAGTATATGACTGCAAACACCTCCAGTTAGATGTTATTTATTCAGAATGCAGATTTGCTTTCTGATGGTAATATTTCATATCCTAAACCTCAGTAGAACCAATGCATCTCATTACCGCCGCAGGAAAACCATGATTTGCGCTGACTTTGTGCTATCCGCTTTAGGCAGATACTCTAAACACATCCTGACAGTTACCCCTAGACTGATCATGATTGAGTGGGCTTCCTGTTTGCTTGAAAGATCATTAATAAAGCATTCTGTGTCTAATATCTAAGGCTTAGTGTCTTCTCATTAACCAGATGCCAATTAAATGCGAGTCATATTTCTTAGACAGTATTGCCTGACAGCTGTAAATGATTCATGTTGCTGATGTCAGTACTTTGTATTGTTCATTTTTATAGTTTTATTTTTATAATAATATTGTTATTATATTAACAAAATGATATACTTTTATATTATTATTTTAATGATATAGTATTATTTTATTCTTTATTTTATATATTATATTTAAATCATAAATATGTATTATATATTATTATGTTATTAATAATATTAATTAAAATAATACAATTTTTATTTCTGTTTTCCGACATAAAATAAAAAAAATATTATTAGTTGTATTTCTATTATTATTATTATTATTTAAGCTAAGGTATTGCCATTTTCATTTTCTATCTCTAATTGTTAAAGGCACACTATGCAGGAATTCCGTTTTTGTCAAACAGCGAACCATAGAGTCGCTGCGGAGTACTTGTATTTAATGTTACTGTCGTAAATACCACTCACGCAGAGCGTCTCTGCCA